CATGTCTAATTTTTGACTTTTTAGTAGTCTGTTTATAATCTCTAATATTTCAGACTTAATCACAAAAATACATTAACTATTAGCAAAAAAATTGATAAGTATAAAACAAATGAAAATAAAAAAAAGATTACCCTTAACGTATTTCTTAATTCCTTATTCATTTTATCATAAAAGAGATAAATATAAGAGGAAGGAGCAGGAGGAGGAGAATGAGATGATTAGGATGATGATAAGTTTCAGTTGGTCTTTTTCTGACCCTGATTGGAAAGATTTCTTTTAAGTTCAGGTTGTCTTTTTCATGTTTATGATTTTTCCAATTGAGATCCATTATCAAATGTTCTTTTCTGGCTTCTACCTCTATCATCATATTGTTCAGAGGCAGAATCTGTGATATAAACTGACTTTGACGAATAAGCCTTTTTAGCCATATTTTTCAAAGAATCAGGCTACCTGTATCAAGGGTTAATGTAGAGAAATTTACTTCGTCATTCGTCCAATCAATTATTGTGTCTTTTGGGTCTATTTTCTTTGTTTTCCTCTTGCAATGATCATCATCAAACTTTTAATTTCATCTACTTAGGCCTGTAAAGCATCTATTATTTGAAAATATAATCGGAATGGCCATATGTATTATGATCTAATTAATAATACATGTATTATACAATAAACAATCATACCGATTGATTTTTCTTTCTCTTTCTCTTTCTCTTCTTCTTTTTCTTTCCCTATCTCTTTATTTTTTTCTTCTCCTTGAACTACATCGATCAAACTGTTTTTTTACTTTTGTTTTGATCGATATGATTTTTCTTCACAAAACTTCTCAAAATCAGTTTTAGAATCACTAGAATAAAAGAAAATAAAAGAAACTAAAAGTAAATAGTAATAAATGAAGAGAAAATATTAAAATAATCAATTCATAACTAAACATACGGTTTTTCGCTACTTCTGTATTGTTTTTTTGGAATAGGTTTCTTCAAAGAACCACCTTTTTTTTATTTGCTAAAATTGATAATATTCTTTTACGTTTATCTCCATCAGAAGACTCTTTATCAGATAAAAAACGTTTATTGGATTTTTTGTTAAGCATGTTTTGAAAGATTTTTCTTTTGTTTAAAGAAACTTTTAATAAAAAAAGAGAACATAGAATCTTTTTATATATTTTCAAAGGAGTATTGATATCAAACTTTTAACCACAAAACAATACAGTTATTGGAATAAACTTTCTTTACATTAGTAATAAATCGGAAATTTTGGTTGTAAAAGTATTAGTAATCATTGGAAGCAAACTTTTAATGAATCAGACATGTTGGTTATAAATACTAGTATTCATTGAAAGCAAACTTTCAATGAAATTTTGATAAAAGTATTATTAGTCATTGT